AATGCACCATTGGCAGTAGAATCCAAATGAGTTTTGCCTTGGTTATTCAATCCTCTATAGAAAATTTGAATGGTGGCCCACTTAGGAAGACCATGTGTAGGACACCTTCTGATCAACCCCTTGAACCTAGTCCAGCTCTCATGGATTGACTCATCAACATACTGTCTAATCCATGTGATGTCATCCCTCAAATCACACACCTTTGTGGGTGGGAAAAACCGCATAAGGAAGGCTTCCCCAAGCTCCTTCCACGTGGTGATGGACTACGCAGGCAGATCTTCGATCCATTCTTCTGCTGCCCCAGCTAGAGAAAAAGGAAATAGCCTCATCCTGATAGCTTCTATGGATACTCCATGAATATTAAAAGTATAGGAGATTTTCATGAATTTTGTGATGTGCTTGTGGGGGTCTTCCTTGGGTAATCCATGATATTGAGTCATGGATTGCAGTAGCTGTATCAAAACACCTTCGATTATTCCTAACCAAAAGGGTTCATTTAACACTTAACAAAATTCCATTTCCCAATTTTCTTTTGTTGAAATACTCAAGTCTCATTCACATGGAGTTCTTGAGTTAAAAAATAAAAGTATCAAACGAATGAAGATTAAAGAAACAATAACAATGCACATCAAGAAATTTTACCCAATCATTTTGAATACCCAGAAAAAGAAAGGAATTAAAAACTCATTTTTAGAAACAACAATTCAGAGATATCAGAAAAAGAAACATGCATTAAGAAATGAAATCAAGGTTAATCGTACAAATCAAAGTACCGATTACTAAATTAGGATTGGAAAGATTTAAACTTCACTTGCATACACCATTGATTCTTCCTTCCGACGAAGATACTTTGTCATTGTACTTCGAGTTCAAGAAGAAAAGAATAATGCATTCAGCTTTTCTAATAAAATCTAACAACACTCAGAGTCTTCTAAGAACAAGGAATAACGAAGATTAAATTTTTAAATCTCTATTCTCGTCTAAATTTTTACAACCCACAAAAATAATTAAAAACTAAAAATTCTAAAAGCTAGTAGCCGTCCCTTCTTCTTGTTAGTCCAATGGTGAAAATGTTCTTACTTCCATGAAATTGCTCCACATGGCTGCTTCCAAGAAAAACACCTAAAAAAATTGAATAATTACAATTATCGGCAAAAATAAATTAACTTGGACTTGGTTAATTTCTTTTTGAATTGGGTCATATTTCATATTCTTTCAGTCCATTTTCCTGTAATTGTCAACCTAAAAAGATATAAAATAATATAAAATAAAACAGTAATTATATAAATAATTTAGTGCTAACAATTGATCACACCCAAGCTGCTTTGCGATTTCCAGTCCTGGATATCTATATTATATCTATGTGCTATGTATTTATATTGTGCAATGTTATGGTTATGTGTTGCTTGAAATAAAATTTCACAAGTGCTATTCGTGAGATTGACAGATTGAGTCTTGAAAGCATCACAATATATAACATTCTGATCCTTTTGTATATATATATATATAAAGCAAATTTCTTTAGTTCCTTTATCTCTATTTCCCCCGCCAATTAGAGAAAGAAAAACGAGTTAATATTACAAATTGTTAACATGCTTGGAGTTTCAACCGTGAAATGAAGCCATCCTTGAAAATCATTCATTTCGTTCTATTAAAAAAAGCTGCATATATTGAAAAAAAAAGTATCATTAACTTGCACCTCATGCCAAATCTCGTCATCTAAGTTCTTTTTTTTTGGAGTTACCCAACCCTAATTATCTCTTTGAGACGAGTTGGTTCCCTCCGGTATCCCCACGAGCTTCGACTCTTTGAGCCGGCTATGGAACTAATCCGGAGTGCGGAGGAACAGTGATGGCTAAAGGTTCAGCCCCCTCCCCAAGAATGCATTCAGCGAGAATCGAACACATATCCAACCCCATTAACTCAGCGCCAAATTACCAACTGAGCTTCTAAGTAAATTTAATTGCACCGAAATATTAACTATATGAATGAATTCTCTATATTCTGTTTGAATAAGTGTATTTTGTGGTAAGAATTTATTTTAAGTTTAAAATAGCTCAGCTGTATTGCTATCATTCCATCTAGGAGGAAGATGCATCTTAGCTATTTTTTTTAAAAAAAAATAAAAATAAAAAAACATTTTAATTTAATGCACTTTTGTAATAGCATTAGGTTAAAATGTCCTAAACGGCAAAACATAGTTAATCCCCGGCTTTTTTATCCACGTGGATTAACTTTATTCCTTTCAATCAAATTGTTAGAATTTTAAATTCGGTACTCTTAATGGTATGATTGGCAGTCTTACCCAAAACTTTGTAGCATAATTTTTTTTTTTCCTCCCCAAAGTCGTGAATACACAAAGATATGTAGAACTTGCATAAGCAAGAGATAAAAATGGAAGAAAATAACAACAAAATATTAAAATAAAAAAGGAAAAATTTCAAAAAAAAAAACCCCTATGAGTTTTCTGACTTATCACTTACCCCTCACAAAAAATTTAAATCATTTACATCTTTATTTAAATTTTTTTTATCACTTACCTCCCTGATTTAAAATTTCTTTATCATTTACCCATTTCATTTAGGGGGCTAAATGATAAAAAAAAAAAATTAAGTCAACGGAGTAAATGATTCAAAATTTTGAAAAGGGAATAAATGATTACAAGAAAAGCTACACAAATTTTTTTGAAGTTTTCCCAAATAAAAATGATCCTAGTCTAGATCTTTCTTATGTGAGATCACAGGCCCAACCTGTAGAAGGCCCAATATTGGGTGGTGCAAGCACCAGCCTCCAAGATTGGGGAGGGAATAGGTGGCATAATAGATGATTGAACCTACGCCCCATTCATACAAACTGGGTCTGAAGAGTCAGTTGAGCTACAAGCTCATTAGCACTAAAATAACTTCTCATCTTTAGCATAACCACAAAATACATAGAAAAATAACAGATACAATCACCAACAAATAACCTCCAATTTCAGTTAAATATATTGTTAGATATAATAATCATTCCTGAGCACGCCCCTATGTATTTAACTACATAAGAGCATGTTTGGTGCATAGCATAGGATAAGACCTGATAGTATAAGACCTGATTGAATTTTAATACTATCCAGCGTTTGGCACGGTATTGTATAAAATAATATATTGTATAAGATAATATCATCTAGTATTTGATAATGTACTGTATAATACTATATATGATAAAAATAAATATTTTTAATAAAAATATCCTTTAATAAATAATTTATATAATTCTTCAAAAAATTGCATATGATATTAATTTTTATAAAAATTTATTGATCAGTGTGTCCAAAATATAAATTAATTTTTACAAAAATAAAATAGTCAATATTTTAAAAATTAATATATTGAAAAATTAATTTTTATTTTAATAGATTAATATTAAAATAATATATTAATTTTTAAAAATTACATTGGTCAACGATGTTAATACATCAATCTCTTATCAGGCATTATCTCTCATCCTTAGGCCGTATTAAGTTATACATCGTTTTGATGTATTAAGGAATTATGCTGTATAAGTTTATACTATACGATGGTCATACCAAACAACTGAAAATGTCATAACATATAGTATAAGTTTATACTATCATACCTTATACGTCACACCAAACAGGCCCTAAGTTAATCAGTTTTTCACATACATATTTACTCCCAAGATCTGAAACTTTATCATAGGTTACCAGAAATCTATTGGACTATTTCATAGAAAAGAAGAATTAAAAGAGAGCGTGAGTGAAAGGTGTTGAGTTCAAATTGAAAAAAGATTTAGAATTCTGTTCATTCCTACTTTGCTTAGTGGTTGATAGGTGTGTGGTAAGGTCAGTGGTTCTATTCCCATTGAGTGAATTCTTCAATTATTTTGGAAGGCGATCCTCAGAGTAATGGTAAGGTTACTCCTTTATGACCGGAATCGTCACATTTGGGGTATGGAAAACAAGGATACGACTGTATACTATCATCCCTCACCCCATCCTCGCAATATCGAGAAGCCTTGTGCACTAAGATTTGAAGATTTACAATACTAACAGAGAAGGTAAATGTTAGGATTCCCGTCTCCCACTATATCATGTTGCTTTACTGAATAGAATAATCTCTAATGGACAGAGAGGTGTTCTGTTATTACAAATAACAAACAAGAAAATAAAAACAAAAATCAACCAGAGAGATGTATCTCTCCTCATCCTCACACTGAACCAAGCTCTTCACAACACTCAGAAACGGACAACTTTATTTCCTCCCCCAGTCACACACACTCACCCAGCCTTTTTATACTTAAATTCACAGACACAATACTATAACGTAATCCCTTGAAATTTGCTGGTATTTGCTCCGGCTTTGATTCATAGTAATATGATCCAGCTTTAATTCATATTAGCTTTTAAACTCTCCACGACATCTTGTCTGCCTTAATTATGGGGTTATTATTTTCGGCCCTAACAGATGACTCTTGGTTAAAGGTGATAGTTTGCTGGTATGTTTGCTAATAGCTTTATAGTCTTTTATTCATCCTAAGAGACCTTCTCTGCAACAAAGTTATAGTATAAAAGAAAGAAAACACAGCATACACACATACATGTTAAGTTGATCGGTATGTAATATAGGAAAATGCATGTATTAATACTTTTGCATTTAGCAACAATAAACAGCTATTGTGGTAGATGACTTCCTCATAGGGATCAACCGAAAACATAGAAGATAAAACTAATACTGTCAAGATATTAGTTGCATTATAATAAACTATTGCCAAGAGATTAACTTACACTCAAGCGGCTGAGGTAGGTGGAGATTTGAGTAAAAATCTTATATTCAAGTGGAGGTAAGGACTTCCAAAGCAACAAGAAATAGGAATCATTAAGTTGCAGCATAGCATGCCACTATTTATTTTTTCTCTCTTTACGCTTTTGGTATAGAAAGCAACCAGAGCTTATTTTGATCATTATATTTCACATTCTGCAGGCAAACCCTCAAACCCACCATGCAATTGTAAATTTATAATGCAGGTATAATCCTTCTTAGGAACCTTATAATACAAATTAAACTGTATGAATTTGTAAACCAGGTACAATCCTTGCAATAAAAACTTAAATGCTTAGAGTGGAAACAACTCAGCATTGGAGAATAATTCAACAGCTGCAAAGTGAGTTTCAAGCTAAACTTTGTTGAAAATCTAAATAAATAACCCTATAACAGAATAATAGTAGCAAGGACAAAGATTTCACAGGAGTAGAAAAACACAACAGAAAAAAAAAAATTAAAAAAGAATTGAAACCTTCAGATTTGTTGACTAATCTTCATCCTCTTGGAAGACCCGAAAGCCCTTCCAATTGAATCAACAATCCTCCTCTGTGATTCGAGAATCATTTGGATCCGCTTCTTCTCCATCTCCAATCTACACCTCTGTGTTTCCTTCATCATCTCCATCTTCAAATTCTCCATCCCAATAAACCTCTCAGCAAAACCTCTCAATTCAGCTGATAACCCTGAAATCAACCCCTTCCTTCTCACCACCACTCCTTCCTCATCATCACTATCATCATCATCCTCATCTTCATCCTCATCATCATAATCATCGCAATCACGCTCCCTTGAAAACCCTAAAACTCCTCCATACTTGTTTGCTTTGGGTCTCTGTTTAACAATGTAATTAATACTCTTAGACTTGATATAACTCTCCCTCTGGTCATCATCATCATTGTAGTAGCAAACACCATCATCATCATCATCATCATCATTATCTTCATCATCTTCATCATGATCATTCTCGTTGTTGTAACCTAAAGGAGCCATAGACATGAAAGGTCGAGCCGAAATAGGAAGAGGACCGCGTTCCAACTCGTCCATGAGGCCGGAGTATTGCCAGGCGCCGCCGCGGGCCATGGCGGCGCCGGTGGAAAGGCGGTGCTTCTCGGCGCGATGGCGCTGGCGGAGCTTCTCCATCTTGTGGCGGCATTGGATGGCGGACTTGGAAGCGTGATTGGAGTCGTAGCCGCATCGGGCGGCGACGACGACGGCGACCTCTTCCCACTGGGTGGACCGGAGTGGGCCCCGCTTGAGGGAATACCATTTCTCTTGGTAAGACCTGATGAGGTTCACCGTCTCTTGGTGGGTCCATGGGATCGATTGGGGTCTCTTCGGGGGTGAAGCGTCGTCGTTTGTGGCGATTGGGGAAATTAGTTTCGGTGAGGAAGGGGTTGCCATGATGGAGTTAGCCGATTAGGGTATTTGATTATTTGGTGTTTCTTTTTTTTTTTTTTTGCTTTTGTTGGGAGTTAATGTTATTGTGGTGTTTTTATGTGATTTTGGTGGTGGGTATTGGGTGGTGTAGTTGACATTTGATGGCGGTGGTTGGTGTGGCGGTGCAGGTGGTTGTGGTGATGGTGGAGAGTGACAGGGGACATAGTGGGCTCGGTCGATGTAAGTGCGCCAGCCTGTGTCAGTGGTCACTACCGGGCACAGGCTGATGGACTAGACTTTTTTTGTTTTTTTAGAAGTTGCAATTTTTGGGCTTGAATGGGCTTGAAAGTCTGACTGTAGATTACTTTGTGAAACAAAACCACCGTTAGGCAACGATAATTCAAAACTGACAATAGTAATGATAGACTAATTGTTCTGTACGATTAGATTCTTCTGTGTTAAAAAAAAATTGATATAGTTACAGAGGAAAGTTATACTTATAAGTCTCTTTTTTACAACCCCTTACCCATATATTATAACCGTTGATTTCCGGCAATCAACGGTTATCATTTATTATAAATTAATAATTAATTAATGAGTTTAATTTGCGAAAATCATAACCGTTGATTGGCGAAAATCAAATATATGGTTGTAAAAAAAAAAAAGGTTGTAACTATAACTTCTCCCATAGTTATATATGAAATCATAATTATATAAAGGTGATAAAAAAAGAAAGAGAAAAAAAATATTAAAATAGATAGTTACAAAATCATAACCGTTGATTTACCTTCGTATACTTGTAATTTTCTCACGTGATGATGTCATATTTTTTTTATCACGAGATAATCTATTTCCGTTCTTATATATTACGTGTGTAACTAACCTATTATTTTAAATAGACAACGGTCTTATACTTTTCGTTTGATTTGGATTCCGGTTCTTAATTTTTTTTTTTTTTTTCTAATTCGAGTTTCTTAATTCGATCCAGTTCAGTCAATTAACCGGTCAAGTATGCAACTAGTCAAAAATTGGTTTCAACCGATCAAAAATTAGGTTCAACTGGTACCGGTTTTCTGGTTGAACTGGATTTTGAATAATTCCACTAAGCCAAAATTATTTTGACAAAATATTCCACCACAATTGCACTCTTGGGATTTATAATTGGTGCCTATAGTTCTTATATTAATTTTATTTGTATTTTTATATTTATATTTTTACATATATTCAATTTAAGTGATTCAACTAATGATTCAATGATTGAACCAGTAACCCATTGATCAGGTACTTTAACCGAGTCAACGACCGGTTCGAGTTACAATTATTTATGAAAGTTATTCTCTCTACTCTTATTTTATCTACTTTTACTTACCTCTTTCAAAATCGTTAGATTACAATCTCATTCAACGATAAAGATTTACTGTTTAAAATCAACCATTTTACCCCTTTTTATCTCCCACTGCCCTTCATCCTTTCTCTTCCTCCCCTTTCTCTCTTTCTCGGATCCATCATTTTTTTTAAATTGCAATCATCCTTCGGGCGATATGAATGACAGATTCAAATTAGATGAAATTGACAGATTCAAAATAAAAGGGCCAAAAGAATATCACTTCATACGCTGATTCAAGATGTCATAATCCGTTTAGCTCTTTGCCCATGTAGTGAATCGTAAAAGTACAGCCAAGTTTTTTCTTAGTTCTGGAACAAGCATGAATAAACGTATGAATTAGATGGGGGGTATGAATGATTAAGAATGGTTTGGAACCTTAAATCTGGATTCAGATTTTTTTCTTTTCTTTTGGATAAATTGGACTATCCTTTCTTGTGATTCACAAATGAAACATATCAATATATATTTATTCATAATTGTTAAGTTCTATTAATTCATACCCTCACAGAAAACAATGATATGGCATGAAGCCATGAATCTGATCCTTATTTTGTATATAACATAATATTTTATAAAAAATCAAAGAGCAACAGATTGTCAATTACAAGAAAAGAGTGATTGAATTAGCGAAGATTGACGCCCTTTAGCTTTGGTGTACAGAAATTGTAGAATCGTTTCAGTTCTGATGCCACAACGAGGAAGAGAAAAAGGAGGAGGGAGAAAGGGTGAGAGGCAATGGGAGAGAGGAAGGGGTAAAAGGGTTGATTTTATACCGTAAATCTCTATCATTAAATGAAATTGTAATCTAACGGTGTTTAGAGAGGTAGGCAAAGGTAGGCAAAAGAAGAATAGGCAGAATAACTTATCTTATTATTTATATGATAAAAAATAGAAATGGTACTTGTAACTAAAGGTTTCTGTAGATTTTGAAGGGAGGCACGCATTAGATGTACGACCAATTAGATGTATGACAAAAAATAATAAATAATGTTCACTTTCAAAGGTTTATATAAATTTTAAAGGGGAAAAGAGTAAAGCATATAACTCTCCCTCAATTGAGTCATATAGCTATTATTGAAGCTAAAGAAGTGGAGCAACAGTTATAATTTTCCATAATGATTATTTCATAATCTTCTCCTGAAATAAATTGTAGTATCCATTCAATTGGGTTAGTAACATCCATACCTCATCAAAACCTTTCTAGAAAACCCAATAAGAAAAAAAAACTAGCAAGGGAAAAAAAGTACATGACATGCACTATTAAAGCATTGACAAACTCCCTCATTAAAAATCTTTGGCCAAGAAAAACCCTGAGGGAAAAAATTGGCAAAAGAGAAAGGAGTATAATAATAAACATTCAAGGCTCCATCCTTTAGGGATTTTCAATTAAATATCATCGTGAAATTACCTACAATCACGATGCCCATTAAAATCATCTAACGATACGTTTTAGTTGCCATGTTGATCAAGTAACAGAACGTAATAAAATCTAGTATGGGAGAGTAAGAAACATCGTAATTAATGTTGGGTCTCTACGAAAACCCTCGCTCTTCCTTAGTTGCTTTCTTAAGGAAGTCAACATAATTAACAAACTCAATGTGTAACAGCCCGTTACGTACCGGTATTGTTAACATTAATTATGATATTAAGCGCAGTTACAATCACAACAGTTCATTTAAAAAAACGAGAATAAATTTTTTCCGACTATTACGCGAGCATTTAAATCATAAAAAGCGTAATAATTAAAAGCTGTGACCGTAACCGTAAACTCTTGCGGAAGACTTATTTTAACTATTTTTATAACTTACATCATTCATTATGAGTTACTAAGGAGTTCCCATAAACTCACTTAGCCTATATCCAACTTTACATTTTTACCAATTCGAACATGTTTCACTCTAAATTTTTCTGCGACCAAAACGATCGCAACCAACCCTTCTTCTCAGATTATATTTTTGTATTACTTAATTCCCTTTTTAACAAGCTATCATACGCTCAATTCGGAGCTCATTTGCTCCGGTTATCGCCGTTTGAAGTTGGATAAGCAATTAGCCCAAACAACCCCAAAAACAGCTCCAAACCACTCACATTTCTCGAATTACTGCACTCAATCCACTCAACCATTTGCTCTCAAATTTTTATCCTACAAACTAGACATCTAAAACTTCATTTTGATATATCACACGCTTAATTTGGCGGAGAAACGAAGCGGGAATTAATTTCCCAAATCCGGTCCAGAATCTGCCTCAGGTGCAGGGGCACATGGGCAGTCCGTGTTTATCTATTTTTTTCAGGCCGAAGATCAACCCAGAATTTCCTCAAATTTTGACACAAGGTATAGGACATCACAACCTTCAAAATGGCGTATAGCACGTCCCTAGGGGACTTCTATGGAGGGAGATATGCTCTTCCGAAGTTCGCCTAAAATCTGCCAATTCTACAGAAAATTCGCCAGAGTTTCCTTTGTTTTTCCAATAATCCCAAATTTGTAAAAGATCATTTAAACCTCAATGTACCTAATAAACACATGATAATACAGTAATAATCCAATGGGTGGCACACACAAGGACCAACAACGCCTTGGGGCACTTACAACCCAATCCAGTTTATAGTTATTAAACATAGAGTCCATATTAATCATTCTTAAGTAGTTGCAATCACTAACACCTTTTTCATGCATATTTCCATTATACATATTATCATAACCTAAAATAGGCCTAAGGCCCTTCCATCATAATTAGACATGCATCAATACTATTACAATATGGCTTTACAATTTACAACTTGAAACTAAAACTTCAAATTACATTCTTCTAAAATTTCAACTTAATTTAAAAGACAACATAACCAAATACATCACTACTAGACTTAGGAAAAATGGCATGAACAAGATGCTAATGAAGCTACTAATAAATACAAATGACATGTTCATGCCCTAAGTCTAGCCTAGGCCACACGTCCAACAAAATGCAAAATAAGAAGCGCTCCACCGCTCACTCTGCGGGCCTCTTGCCCGAGACTCCTGCTCCACTACTACCTCCTGAAATAAATGCCCCGAGACGGGGTGAGATATACGAATATATCTCAGTAACCAAGAGGTTCTGGAGAAAACTCCACCCAATGGTTCACTTCGATGCATATCAATAGAATACAACAACCACTTTGAAAACATGATATAGCAAGGGATTTAGAGAATTGGGAATATAAAGAAAACAAAATACGACGATACGGGATGGTAACCCCAATTCCACGTACGCCCTCGGCATATATAAGCCTATGGGTATCATCCAAGGTGTGTTCACAGAAACCACAACCATGATGCCCAAACCAACCAAAACGCCAAAGACATTCCTAGTGTGCTCCTACCCGGATCACACACCATGACCGCAGTCAACTGGAACTCCCTCCTGGAGACCTATCCAGCGGAAGTCCGAAAATGCCCGAAGGCTAATAAAACTGTCTACTGGCCAGAGACTCGGTACTGCAGTACCCATAGCAATAATGCATGCTTGCTCATGTGTTCTATACTATTCATACACACTTCCTACCGTTGCCATCAACTGGCAAGGTGGAACAGAAAAGGGGAACAAGCCCCAGTACCAAGAGGTTACCTGGAATATTGTTTCCACAAGCTCCGCAGCAGCATATCCCTCAACTTGGTACACAGCAGAATGCCTACACAGAGGACATTCCTAATCACTCACAATTCAAACAATACATGCTACTTTACAATTACACATGCATTGAACCAATTACTTACCTCAATCCACTTGGTCCAAGACCGATGGCAACTCACTGAATCAAGATTCAGGATTCAAGTCAACGTACGGCAACCTATACAATTACGTACATCCATCAGTACGCGTCAAATAGCATCAAATT